ACAGGGGGTGGAGTGATACTGGCAATAGCAGCACTGTAGGAGGGGGACAATTGAAAACGGAGGCCTCCACCTCTATCCACCAGTGAGATGCATCAGGATATTAACAACATTCTGCACACAGGAAGTGTCTCATCTTGACTCTGAGGAATGTTCCATRGGTCAGCTGGGTTTTTAGTGCTTTAGAATTAGCTTTTGCTAAATTTTTAAGTGTTTTAGTKCKTTAGAATTAGGGGACCTARATATTAAAGTTAGTGCTTTAGGGTTAGTGCAACTAATTTTTAGATTAGTGCWGCCCAYCACTGGCCAAAAGCATAAAAAKTCAAATAAAAACTGAAAAATCCTGTATTTTGTCAGCTATTAATAYAGTTAAAACTCTTCAACTGGTTGATTTGTGGCTGCCACAGATAAATGAAACTTTCTGCCTCTGATTTACATTTAAGGTGCACGTCCACAGTGGTGGTGGTCAGTGGTTTCACAGGACCACCAAACTTCTCAGCCGGACTGCCCCTGTCATCAGCACATTCTCACCTCATGACAAACTGAGCCAACTCGGCTCCCGTCCAGACAGTGGACGAGTCAGGTCGCAGTGGTGTGATGTGTGTGGTGATGTGTTGTTGTATCGCGAACCCACGCCGGGGTGACGAAGGTTACTACAGTTCATACCTTCACAAAAAAAAAAAAAAAAAACTTCCACGTCACGCAAGACTGCACGCTACTTGAAAGCGGCCAATCAGCAGCGAGGTCCTGACTTCTGATCCGTCCGGACCAATGTGTGACGAGCCCGTGAACACGTTATCTAATTAATATTTTATTGCTAAACATTTAACAGCTGCAGGGAGTAATTGACACTAAACTGTTTTTTTTTGCTCGTTTTCTTGTTACACCGCTCTGTTGCGTTCAAGTGCTGCGTCTGAGTGCAGGAAAACTGATGAACGATCGAGATGCTTGATTTCTGAGCTTAGATGCTAAAGATATCCTACCTAAAACATCACCACGTGACTCATTTAGATAGGATTAATTGAAGAAATAAACATTTAGGTTAAAATACTGTTATACCGTCAAAGTAATACCCAAAACATTTACTTTACAGTTGTGTAAATTGCAGTTACCCCCCCCCCCACTATGTATCAATATTACTATATACTGTATATGATGTATTTGCAAATACCAAGTTTCTGAAGAAATAAGTAAATATCTTCGTAGGGAGCCGACAACGAACTGTTAAAACTGTCAGAATCATTTTATGTTCACAGACTTCAAATATTTCAAGTGAAGCTTTATTTTGAAAATCAGAGGGAAATGAGTAAAGTAAGCAACAATGAATGTATAAATATCTGTGCAGCCAAAATGAGCACACTGAGGCACTTTCCTGCCTTCTGCTGCCACAACACACCACATAACCCAGGGATATTATTGCAGCTACAAAACGGTTTTATTCTTTTAAACTCTATTACTGTATTATTGTTTCATTTAATGTAAGACAAGAAAAAATAAAAAAGTAATCAGCAGTTACTAAAGGATATAGTAGTGCCTTTGTGAAAAGGGGAGTAAGACTGAGAAGTTACACAAAGAGCGCAGGAAAAATATTTTGAAATTAAACTAAACGTTTTACAGACTGCTGTGCAAATTCAGCAGAGGATGAGGGGATTAGGACACTAAAGCAACTCTTTGGGTAAAAATGAAAGGAATAAAGCCATCAGTGACGCTGTTACAAGTCTAGGCTAACACAAAGTTTACAAAATAATTGTAATAATAGTCTGGCATTCGCAATCAGACATTTTTCTGCAATGTTTTGGCCCAAACTCGCATTGTTAGAATCAACTGAACACAATCTACAAATGCAGGAGAACAATAAGATATTAATTTACAGATTTTGTGATTTGCTCTGAATGAATTTTTGTAAAAAAATCTAACAATAAATACCAGATTGTCAGTCTGTTCCTCCTTCATAGAGTACACAATGACAAAGTGGATCATAACCCAAATTTTTATTTTCATAATTTGTGGAACTAGTTATTGTTTTGCAGCCAGAAGGCTGCTGCGTGTACTTCATCAAAAAAAAATGTTGTTCAACTGTCCAAGTAAAAGGAGAAAAAAAAAGAAAAAGAACTGCATTAAGAAGTAACAAGATTTATGACTTACCACCTATTAGGACAACCACAGCATCGATTCAAACCACTTGCTTTGTGTAATACATTAACTTTTGAATTTACACGGAATCACAACTTTCAGAATACATTCATCGTTTTTTCCTTTTTTTTTTTGTAAAATGATCACAGCAAAATCGACAGACTTTTACAAAAATCCACCACACTGTCTCAGTCAGCCATGTCCTCCAGGAGGGAGAATTTTCGGCGTGACCAGATCCACATTCTGTCACTTTACCAGCTGATGTTCTCGTAGTTGTACATTATCAGGCCATGAAGAAATAAATACATATACAACAGTATAACACTGAAAAGTGGTGGGTGGTGTCCTCGGGGTGTTAGACCCCCAGCTTGTTGGCGATAGTCATGACCACTTTCAGGATGGGCATGAAGGCAGAGATCTCACTGAAGTTGCTGCTGCTGACCACCTGGGTGTGGACCTCCAGGCCCCGCTGGTAATTCTGGCTCGCCACACAGCGACTGATTTCGTGGAGCCCGTTCAGGATGTTGGGTGAGAGCTAAAAGAAAAACGGTGAGCTGAGTTACTGCTTTCACCTCATATTTAGACAAACTATAAAGTGTGGATTTTTCCACATGGGGCCAGAAACACAGACCTGATTATTGTAACAAGCTATAATGAGAATTTTATTTTAAAGGGGCAATATCATATAAAATCAACATTTTTGATTTTTATATCATGTTATAATGTTATACTCTCATAAAAAACATGGCCAAAGCCTTGCTTTGACTCATTTATGCATGTTTGAGAAATCCTGCAGTGTTTTTAGGCAGCCATGCTGAGGAGCAAAACGACAGGTGGGGACCAGAAACGCCCCTGGGACGTGTCTCTAAGCCAAACTTTCTCATGGCAGAGCGCCCCCCCCACACACACACACACACCCCGCCCATGACTCCTGCAGGCTCTCGGGTGAAAGTGAAAGTGAAACTTTAACTCTCTGCTGAGCTCCACTACTTCTCACTCAGTGAAGCTCTTTTCAGATTAAAAATACCTTTGAGGAGATGTATTTTCAGATGTCAAGTAAACTGCATCGTAGCTTTATTGCATGATAAATTAAAATAAGGTTGATAATTTTCATTTGCTGGTTTGTTTTCTTTGGGTCTCCCTCTTTTCTTCAGCTTAGCGTAGTGTGGAGTGAACACTGACATCAGGTGTTTGCCAGGAGCTTGGTCATGTAAGCTCCGTAGCATGAGAGCCCCGTCAACAGGCGTTTAACTAGAGGAGCGTCTTCGGTTTTCTGATGCTTTCTTTCAGAGACGCCCCAGAACMCCCTCAGCACCATGCTGAACCTTGTGTTAGCCGAGAGTTTCTTTTTTATTTTTTAACACTATGTAAATTTTGTAAACTTCCGTAAACTTTGTACGCAGCGTGAGGGTGACCGTAATTATGTCATGAAGCCAGAGGAAGACACTTACAGAATAAATTGCGCCAACTTGGATAGAGGTAGGTTACTGCTTCAGTAGCTGTTGTGCATATTTTTATTTATTTATTAACTTGATTGATTGATTTATTTTTAGTTATTTTTTTACTAACTCTGCTCCCGGTCTGTCAGTAGCGTTATGTAAATTTTGTAAAGCTCTGTAAATTTCATAAGCGGCGTGCCGCAGTTATTTTACTAAGCCGGAGGAAGATGCATATACTGAATAAATTGTGCCAGCTTGGATAAAGGTGGGTAGCAAAGGCACTATTTCTGCAGCTGTTGTTTTGTGTTGTTTTCACAAGCTCCATCCCAGGTCAGTTTTTTAATATTTTTTATTTTTTACATACGTAAATTTTGAAAACTTCCATAAGTTTTGTAAGCGGGGGGTTTGGGGTGGTATCATTATATTATTTATTTATTTTTTATTTACCGTTGTTTAACCAGGCAAATCCCATTGAGATCGCAGATCTCTTTTTCAAGGGTGGCCTGGGTGCAACCTATTGTACATTTTTTGTGTTATTATATTATATCAGTTTGAAATAGTCTCCAAGCGATATTATCGTTTATCACAAGCATTTCTGAGACAATTTATTGTCCAGCAAAATTTGTAATAGTGACAGGTCTAGTTGTCGGTGTACAATGATTACTTTTCGAAAGCCTCATTAAAATGTATTCAGTGGTTCATGAGGTATTTGGGTAACACACACACAGGCAAAAACATAATCACCCTCTTTCACGTTGTGGTGGCGGGCAACTAAAACTTACCGACTGCTCTCTCAGTTTATCATAAAGGTGTCCTAAACGCTTTCCTGCATCATCAAGCTTCCGTTTTGTTTGCTGAAAAATACGCAATTTTGGTCATTTCACAATAATTTCTTTTAATTGATACATCTAAGTATAATTAAAAAAAAATAAATCAGAGGCTGAAACTTACCGGATCTCCTGCTGCGAGCTGGCAGCGCTGCACCAGGCTGTCGAAGGTGGTTTTGAGGATCATGTGCTCAGCTGGGATTTCCTTCTGCTCCACTCTTTCTGCTGGTAGCTGCTGGAGGAGCTGAGCAACACAAGCACACAAACACAACRTGATGCCTTTCTTACTCCGCGCGTCGCTGTTGAGAATTCAGCGGACGGCTTCCTTGTTAGAGACGAACCTGTACGCTGGGCTCCTGAGGGGCTCCGGGGGGCACTTGGGTGTGGTTGTGGGCCTGTGGGGCCTCTACTGGGAAACCCATGACAGGAGCTGTGATGGGGGCTGGTGGAGTGTAGTTATCAGGGACCTGCTTACATGTGAAAGAGCGACAGGGTTTTATTATTTTTTTTTTTTACTCAGAGCTAAGTTTGGAATTTCGTCATCACTAAAAGCTAATTGTCATCTTTGGGATCATTTCCCTTTTTTAAAGAAAATTCGGTTCATTAAAAACATTTTCTTTTGTAGGAAAACCCTTTTTCTTTGTCTCTCTCTAAGTGAAGTGACAGGATGTTCCTTTATGAGAAGACTTGCAGAAGTCTTAAATCTTTTGCACTCGTTTCAAATTATTCTCATTGGTTGAAAACTTCTCTGTTTTTCCGGCACCGTGTAAACACACAACGCATCCAAATGCTTCAGACCAGCAAWCTGCCAAATCTTCTGTCACGTCATGTTAGCAGATGATCAGATGACTAAGAACATCTKATTAGCAGCACCCAGGCTGCTGGGCACCACCTAAAAGCCTGAGGAAATATTAATGATGTGCCTATTCCACACACACTGCTCCTGCGTTTGGCCTAGTTGTTTAATTAATAAAAATGAGGCGTAATATGTCACTTTCTGTTTTTATCTCGTTTTAAAGACCGAATTATTCTTTTTCCATCATGTCTACACCACATAGGTTCTTGCAAACGACATCGCTGAGGATAAACRTATCAGTTAAAATGTAATACATGAAAACATTTTTATTTATTTATTTTTGTTGATGGCGATAAATGAATAAGTACCTTCTTCTTCCTGGGTCCACCTCGTACTGTTGGTGGGTCATTCCAGCCCTCTTGAGGTCCTAAATAAGAAAAAAACAACAGTCAAATTTTAAGAGAATGAAAAGCAGTGTTCTTTTGGACACTTAAGTAAGCAAAAAATGAAAAAAGGAAGGTGTTTTCACTCATGCAACAAACGTAATGCTGACATAAACTGGACAAACTATTTGGGAACACATATTTTCTACAATTTCTGATAAAACTTTAGACATAATTAATTCACTGGTGCAAAACTAAGAATGTTTGAATAAGCCAGTGTGAGTTATTCTAAGAATTTGTACCAYGATTTAATAACACTTTGCTACTTTTACACTTATTTTGCTTAAAGGAGACATAAGATGCTTTTAAATCCTTATTTTTCACATTAAAAACATTCAGTTGGGGTCTACATAAAGTGGGACTGCAACGCGTTGGTCAGAATTCCTCCTTATTGTAACTCCACAAGCCCCTCTTTCACCCCATTTCTGGGGTGTGTCCCAGATCAACTCGTTTTGAGGCTGCTTCTATACATCCAAACCCCACCCCACTTCAACTTCCAGGGCGACCCGTTCTAGTTCGAGACGTGTTACGACTATCTAGCTGAGCAGAAATGTTTTATTTACAAATTACATAAAAGATGTGAACAAGGGAAGACTTATGTTGGAGCCAGAGTCAGAAGAGAATGAAGACCAATCAAAGTGTAGTTGGTAAGTTCAGACCTTATTTGGCAGTTCCTTCACAAATAAATTGATGTAATAGTTCAGAAAATGTCATAGAAAATAGAGAAAACTGATATATCTACACAGCACTGTGGGAGAATAAACTGAACTTTATTGCACTCCTACAAACTCCACGTACAACAAATGCCTTTAACGGCTAAAAAAAAAGTACAGTTTGCATATGTTCCCCTTTAACTGTATCAGGTCATTTTGCATTTAGTACAAATATTAACCCAATGAAGTGATTGTTAAGCTTGTAACTCTGTAAGCCTCAACATTCTGTATTTTCTGTTTGCCATTTAAATATATTCTAGGGGAAAGTAAAAAAAAAAGAAATGTCCTACGCTGAATCTGTGATTTGTATGTGTGACAACAGCTTAATTCAGACACTTTGAAGTAAAGTTAGTCGACACTGCAACACTCTGTAAGTCAAATCATGCCATGAAACTACTAAGAGCTGCACACGTTAAGCAAAAACCAAAAAAGCAAATGTGTTAAAATATTAAAACAGCAATCTCTCACAAGTAAGAATGCATTTATACAACAAATTAACAAGATGCTAATGTAATTATAATACTGTAAAATTCACACTTGAGACAGATTTTCTCATTATACAAAGGCAAAAACCCTTTAATCATGCTATGCTGGTTTTAAAGCCTCACACAATTTCAAACAAATCAATGAGGCGATTCAAGCAACAATCAAAGAACCAGAAAAGCAAAAAAGCTAATTCAATTAAAAAAACTCCCTTGGGTCAAGGCACATTTCAGGGATATTACAATGCACTGTAGTACACTGTGCATGGAGTGATACTCCCTATTCCATGTCAAGCCTTAACCCTGTCACCTTGAAGGTCACACTGGGAATTCAGCCAAGGAAAGTGTCCTGCAAGTCAAAAATGAAGTTACAGCTGAATATAAAGAAGTGACTGTGTGAGAACTGCATGAGCCTGTATCTTGAAATTATTTTCAATAAAATGTAAAAAAAATAAATAAATAAAAAGAAGAAGATTATTGTATTTTAACTTTTTGCTATGCCATGAGCAGCACTATGTACCTGCAGGAGGAGGAGCAACAGGTGCTGGGTAGGGATTTATTGCAGGAGCTCCAGGACCTCCTGGGGGATACCCAGGTCCAACAGGAACATATGGGCCAGATGCCATCGAGGGTCCAGGTCCCTGGTTCGGAAAGCCCCCCGGATACATTGAAAGCGGCGCTCCCGGTTGGGAGGTGGGCGACATGATGCCTGAAGGTAAAGAGGTAGATGGGACGAAGCTCGTTGGCGGCAACCCAGGACTGGGCATGGGGGGCGGGCCGCCGTGGGTCGACGACGAAGGTGGCAGTTGAGGTCCGGATAAATTAGCAGCTGGCACCGAATGGCCTGGAGGTGGGAAGATCCCAGCAGTGGATGCAGGCTGAGGCTGGAATGGCTGATGAGGAGAAAAACCTGGAAAACCCCCCAGAAACGCAAACCATTAATTCAACAGTATTGACAGGAATAACTCGTCTCGCCACGCAAATGATCAAACCTGGAGCCACGGCGGGATGTTGTGGATAAGAGGGTCTTACGGCAGGACGGGTCGAAGTGGGCGGCATTACTTGGGAGGAGGGGGGCAAACCAGGCCCTTGGTTGGATGGAGGGGCTTGAGGAGTAAAAACTGATGGCATACGAGGCTGCTGCTGTGGAGCCATCGGAGTGGGAGCGGAAGGCTGGAACTGACTCTAATGTTAGGAAAGCAAAATAATACAATAAAATCACAGCGTTTATCAGTTTTAAATCAAAATTTGTTGATGACAAAAAGATTTTTCTACCCTATTTTGTACACTGGGTTGAGGAGTCTGAGCAGCAGGAGTGGGTTTAGCTGTTGGCACGCCGGCTTTGTTGAAGGAGTTTGGAGGCTGCTGGTGGACAGCGGCCTCTCCCTGAGCGTGGAACAGCCTGTCTCTCAACATCATAATCCCAGGCTGAGGACGCAGACAGTCAAAGGTAAACATCGCGAAGTAAACAATCAAACGAAAACAGGGAGCTGCAGCTTCGAAAACGAGGTCGTACTTGGTCCGAGTTCTCAGGCAGATAGGCCATGGCGGTGGCTAGGCTGCCCTCTGCGGCCAGGATGCCGGCGTAGCAGGTGAGCTTCTCGGCCAGGACGTGGCTCTGGACTGCTACCTCGCTGTTGCGGAGGCGTTCAATGGACTTTCGCAGCATCATTACTTTCTCAACCAAATCCTAAAAACAAGAGATAAAGGCATTCACTCCCGAAGTGCAATAAAAAAATCTTTACTTGAGCCAATGAGCCCCAGACATTTGTTGATCATTTCTGCCCTCTCTTCTAAACACTTCAGTATTTTGTTCAAGGGATCCCTGATTAGTTGTAACATTAGACTTTATTTAATAAACATATATTTTAACTGTAAAATAAAGACTGTAAAAATACTGTAGCTGTTTAGTTTTGTACTTTTTTTTAAATATATTTTAACACGGACGGAGYCATTTTATTTACACACAAAGCATTCTGGGTAAATGATGACGTGGATAGGTCCTCGATGTGAGCGAGCTATATCCACCCTGAAGGTTAATCTTGGACAATATCTGATGATCGACTCTTTTAAATGAAACCAGAGAGCGTTGACAGAAAGGAGAAGGTAGAAATGACTCAGCCTGTAACTGAAAATATGGATGGAGCAACAGAGCTGCTTCATGGAAGAAGAACCTCAGCTTAGCCTGTTAGCCTTTGCGCTAGCACCGACACTATATTGCCTTATATGTATTACCTCAGTGCTAGCGCGACAAAACTAACAAGCTAAACTGAGGTCCTCCATCCATATTTTCAGTTGCAGGCTGAGTCACTTTTGTGTTCCCCTCTCTGTCATGTGGATGGAGGACCTTAGTGACGAGAGGAGAATGTGTAGAGCTGAGCTAATACATGTATGGTGACAGCGTCGGGGCTAACGCTTAAGCTAACAGGCTAAGCTGGGGTTCTTCTTCCATGAAGCAGCTCTGTTGTCCTCCATCCATATTTTCAGTTACAGGCTGAGTCATTTCTACCTTCTCCTCTCTGTCAATGCTCTCTGGTTTCATTTAAAAGAGTTTATCATCAGATATTCTCCAAGACTTACCTTCAGGGTGGATATAGCTCGCTAGCAGCCTCACACCGATGACCTATCCACGTCATCATTTACCCAGAATGCTTTATGTGTAAATAAAATGGCCCGTCTGAACTTTTAGTTTAAAAATGATAAAAACTGAACAGCCTACAGTATTTTTACAGTCTTTATTTTACCGTTATAATATGTTTATCAAATAAAGTCTAATGTTACAACTAATCAGTGATCTCTTTCAGCTAATGGAAACTCAAACTCTTTAGATGTTTTACCTCCAATCCAAGAGGAGAAGAGCAGTCTCTATGCAAAGCCCAACACTCCACTAACTGTTCGATGTTTCCAGAGCAGATGTAGCACAAGCAGGCCTGCAGGCAGCGCTTCTCTGTGCCCTCGTGCTCCAAACGACTTCCCAGGGTATCTATCAACACAAAATACAAACTTACCCAATAATAAAAACGGAACAAATACTGAAATTTTATTAAGGAGCACAGGTGTTTTTCATAAACTTGATCAACTGCTCGAGTTTTCAGCTTTAACTTACCACAGAAACCAGCAAAGTCTTCAGGATGAGCGTAAGTCAGCAGAGCAGCGAGAGCTTCCTTCCAGTTATCAAGCTCACAGCTTTCAACTATGTCCCTCCAGTTCTGGGTCACCACTGAGGATATAAGCTACAATTTGGACAAAACAATAAAGTCTATTATCTTTACGTGATTGATTAACAGACTTTGTTGATTCTAGTATTTTATCAGTTATGTACAGGGCTCATAAAAAACACATTACCTTCAAACATCCAACTACATTTTGTTAAAAGAGAGAGAGTTGTTACAATCTCAAGGGGACAGAGATGTTTGTTAAACCTAAATTTACAAGCAGTTTGAAGGAACGGTGTACTTCAATCCAAGGAATAAGATTATGGAATAGTCTAGAAGATGGGGTTAAAAACACCATATCAATGGGATTATTAAAGAGAATGATAGAGCTTAGTCTGTTGGAGAAATATGTAATGGTATAATGTGTATTTATACGAGTTGTTCTTCTAGTTTAACATTTCTTTATTTATTTCTTCTTTTTTGTTATTTGAAGACTATTTTGTTTAAATTTTTTTTGAGAAAAGGGGAAGATGTAAGAATTTTTCTTCTGCTACTTTTCATTTTTGATTTGTATTTTTATTGTATATAGAATTTGTTTTTTCTTAAATAAAAATGACTAAACTAAACTAAACTAAATTATAAACTATAATAATGTAGTTCATTATGGGTTTTCAAAAAAATTCTAAAAAGATATATATTTGTGGGTTACAAGCGACAATAACTTTAAATTGTTATTGTATTTGTTTTGTTAAGGATTGTTTGTTTTCTTTGTTATTGTAGGACGGGCACAAATATAAGCCTTGTGCTTCTGCCTGTACCTTTCCAGTCAAACTGTTTACATTTTTGTACTGTTTTGTAATGTTTTGATTTGTTGCTGAACAATTCTGATGACTGAATAAACAATAATCAATCAATCAAAAATCAATGATTTTCTTACCATTGAAATGCTGTTCTTTTGCTTGCTGAGATATTTCTGCTGCGTCTTCTTAAGAAGTTCCTCTCCTCCGCTGATGGACAGCAGAATGGCTTCAGCGTAGCGACCATCGTTCAGACACAGATCCACCGCTCCCTCGAAGTTACCAACCAGCAGCGCTTGGCTTATTAAACCATCTGTGTCTGCATAAATAAAAAGACATGATCGATACGCATCAGCTTAACAAATCAYGGGGTTACAACTGCAGTCATAAAACATGATGAAGTGATGAAGTAATTAATCTTAATATTTTGAATAGAGGTTTGTTTATTTTACCACATGATACAGGGATCTTGAAGTTGGAGGTCTCCTTTGGGGTGTGACTAAAAAAGTCTGCTGGTGAAACAGAGCCTGAGGTTCGGCCATCAGCTGCTGCTTCATCCGATCTCTGAAAACAATAAAGATTCTTTTTAGAGCAAACAGAAACCACGAAACTCGAAAACAAGACATTATGTGTGGAAAAATCGTGACCTCGGCGGTGAGCCGCTGCATCTTCTCAGCAAGATCATTGGCATCCACTCCGAATCCGTTGGATTGAAAGTTCTGTCCCAGGCATTTTGAAATCTGCACAAACACATTTCTGCACATCAAACACTGAATGGCTTACAGTGCATCACTGCAAACTCTAGAATTTCTTTTATCATCTTGCCAGAATAACAAACTGTGTGTTAGATTACCTTTCTCTCCAACTCATCCTTGCTGAAACCCAGAAGTTTAAGGAATTTAATGCGTGCTTCATCCTCAAAGTTCACCTGTAATCAGAGGAAGCTGCTTACTGTAAACATTTTCAACATCTCACCGAATAAAAGGTCTCAATCCCAGCATGCAGCATGAGGAAGGCCTACCAAAAGGAACTTCCATATATCCTGTTCTGCGTCTGATTTGGCGTTCTGAATCTTGGCCTGGCAGTAGTTGTTGAAAGAACCCGACTGCAGCGCCGCCTGGAGCTCCCTGGAGCGCTGGAGGAACTCCGTCTCTGTGGTAACCTGACTCACAAACACTTGCCTGGGGACAGGATGGGGGCTCTGCATCGGAGGCTGCTTTGGATTCTCGAAGGTTATCAGCTTTCCACCGAACTGACAAAACGAAAAACAAGTTTATTAGGTAAGAAAAAACAACAACAACAACAACAACAACAACCAGGTTTATGACGTATATCACACTTACACCAAAGGAAGCTCCGACTGGCCTGCGCACCCATTTCGGTGGCTTCTTCAGAGGAGGAACGATGGTGTCCTCCATGCTAGGCTGAGGAACCTGCAGTGGAGGCAGCACCTGTCCAGTACCAAAAGGATCCATGGTATCAAATGAGGAGGATATCTGTTAAGAAAAGGAAACAGGAAATGTTAATCAAGAGGGCTTATGGGCAAGACATAAACTAGTCATTTAATTAACAAAAAACTAGGAATAGCTCTGTTTATTTTACAAATAAAGCAGAAACCTGAGTACCAGCTGTTTGCTTCTGTAATAGTACACTGGATAACTCTAAACTACTGGTTAGGCCAGAATGACATGTTTAAATGTAACAGAGTAAACAGAGATGGGTAGTTGAGATATTTTCTAATTTTTTGAACACAAACTATTTATCCATTTAATGTAAAACATACATTAAATGAAGAGAAAAATGCAGCATTGCTTGCTTTACAAAATAAGCTTCAAAACTCCAAAAAGCTATTAAATATTTTAGTTTTAGTAGCATTAGCTGCTACAGTGTCATTTCTTTCACACCAGCACCCTCTTGTGGACAAACAATGCCATTTTTTTTTTACATTTGGGAATTAAATGCATTTATTACCTTGTCAACTGTGCTTTGCTGCTGAGCCTTCAAGCTTCCTCCCATCACAGAGTAAACTGTGATTCTCCCATCAAATGAGGCTGTAGAAAAAAGAGCTAGATTCCTGGGACACCACTGGACATCAAAACACCACTGGTTTGTTGTTGGAAGCTCATAAATCACCTAAAATGAAAATGAAAATGTAAGTAAGTAAGTAAGTAAGTAAGTAAGTAAGTAAGTAAGTAAGTAAGTAAGTAAATAAATAAATAAATAAATAGATAGAACAAAACATCAGAAGATCTATAGTTAAACCTAAAGTAGAGGTTTTCAAAGATGGTTTCCAAGACCCCCAGGGGTCCTAAAGCTACAGCTGGGAGTACCCCAAATAAATTAAAATAAATAAATAATAACATAATTTCATTTTAAGAAGTGCATATATACAGATAGAGACCAACACGCCAGTAAAACAAACATACTTAACAAAAATAAAGTTATTCTCATGGCATTTAGGAGGTTAAAATGGCAGTAAATTAGTTTTAATCAGCATGAGGTTTTTGAGGGAGTCCCTGAAAATATCCCTCCTCTGTAAGGGGTCCACAGACCCAAAGGGTTTGAGAAGCCCTGACCTAAAGTGATGACAACGAAACAGAAATGAATGCTACATACATCTCCAGTGTTTGGATTCCAGCAGAGGATCCTGTTGTCTTTAGCACTACTCAGCAGGAGCTCAGCGTCAGCCTGGTTCCAAGATATAGACAGAATCCCCCTGAAAGGAAGAGCGAACGCCGAGGTCATTCTGCAAACGTAAAAAAGAAAACTATCCTGACGGGTAATCAGATGAAGTCTCACCTTGTGTGGTTCTCGAGGACTTTAAGAGGGGATGTGGCAAAACGGAGGTCCCACATCTGGATGACGGGCAGTCTGTCATCTTCWGAGGCCAAAACCAGCTGAGTGGCAACGTCAGGGTGCCAGAGCATTCCTGAGCAGTGCATCTAAAAGTCAGATAATTAGCAAGGTTACAAATCGCATGCAGCAATTTTTCTACAGGATACAAAACTATTTTTTAACGGATCATCTGATCTGAGATGAATGCAGTTTTTGCTCCATCATTAAATTCAAAAACAGATCAGAATGGAATATATATTTTTGCAAGATTCATTAATGTCTGTTTTCCATGCTAAAATAGATGTTTTTAATAGCTTGTTKATGAAAATTATATTTGGCAGATAACTAAAGTCGAGTGGCAATATGCTGTTTTCTTTATCTTTCCTTGAGTCTCTTCTTTGTTCACAAGACAGTCTAAAAATATTTTATGACAATTATGGCAAGAAAATAAGTAACGCTTTGAATGATGCAGAATAAACAGCGGAGTACTGTACAATTATTTGTTTTGCGTTATTGTAAAAGTGAAGAAGGTAGATCTTGACTTGCTGTGTTTTATGATTAAATAAAAGCCACCAACCCTGTTGCTGTGATCACTGATCTTTATAATGGGTTCATTCTTTCTCAGGTCCCACACAACTGCTTTCCCACTGGGGTTGGCAGAGGCCAGGATGTGCTGAACCTGCCTGTTCCAGGACACAACRCTGATGTCTTCAGCGGGCTGAAACAAGAGACAGAAGCTGTCAGTGTTGACACAAACGGGCTTGTGATTCTGAGGAAAACAGATCTCTGATTATCAAATGCAAAGTTAATGCAAACACAGTTGATGCACTATGAAAACAAACCTTAAAAGCAGGGGTGCCTAAACATTTTCCCCGAGAAGACTAAAATTTCAATCTATCCGAGGACTGCAGGCCAAACGCAATAATATATAACATGAAATACAAATACTTTTTAAATAAAGTCCTCTAATTTTTTATGATTAAGCCAGCAGCCAGTGYKGTGGCCCACTTGGAAAAAGTTTGATGTTTGCTTGGTCAGCAAAGGATCATGTTACATTTCATAAATTGATGAAATATTAGCATTTGTGGTCTTATAAAGTGTGCAAATCTAAATATGTGCTTAAATCTAATCTAAATGTCTTCTGTGTATGTCATGTTTAATCTTAATATAAATCATAGATTAGGTAAAAATCATAAGTGAAGACTATATACACTACAGCCCTTTATATAGTCACTGGGTCAATGGATAGAATGACTACATGGAAAGAGTTTGATGATGGAAGATCACAACCCAGTAACCAGTGCAACTGCTGGCAGGCCAAATTAAATGGCTAGGGCGGACCATGCTTGGTCCGYGGGTTGCACTTTGGGCACCTCTGCTTTATAGCAAGTACGTAGATGATTGTTTGTACTAGAGGATTCTGACATTTAGTAAGTACTCTTAGCACTTTCAAATATATCGTTTAGGTTCATGAGACAGTGCATCAACAACTCTTTTCTCTAAGCTGCACACAACACTGAGAAATAAGGAAACGGTAAACAATATTTTCCTAGAAGCTGTATTGTAAACCCATCAATTTACTACTACAAAAGGTCAATTAAAAACAAATCTACAAACTGACAGCAGACAATAGCTTTAGTTTTGTTTTGGTTAATTGATGGTACTTACATCCTATAATTTCCCATCTACTGTAATACAAACCTGCGTTTTTGTTCCAGGTGTCATTGGACTGCTGAAGTTGTTTAGATCCCAGATATATATCTCTGAATCATTTGCTCCCGATGCAAGAAGATTACTCTAAGAAAACAGAACACGACAAATAAAATGAACTTATTGAGATGTACCTCCATCTTAGTTGTCTTCAGCGACACATACCACAGTAGATTTACCTGAAATGGATTGAAATCAAGAGCACAGACAGGTCCGGTATGTTTATCAGACTGTCCAACAACAGCGTCTGCTGCAGAACTTATTATGGCCTCGGGGTTATAAACAGTCAGTGTGCCATTTTCACTTCCACCAACAAGTCTCCCTCCGGTACAATCTTCTCCCATTCCAAAATTTACCCAAACAATACTGTGCAACCTATGAGATAACAGGAAAAAAACAAAACAAAACAAAACAGAATTAACAGTTCACCTTGATGACAAATACAAAATACACCAGGAAAAAAACTTGCAAACTATABGTCAAACCTGCAGCAATTCCTTCATGCTATTTTATAAAAAATAAAGTACCTATTTGTTGTTGGTAAAGATCCTTTGAGCTGCATCTCCAGAGAGGGGTCAGCAAAATCCAACTCAAATATCTCTAAGGCTGCTGTTGTGTTGAACGAAGCATCAAGCTGTTGTGCTGAAGTTCCCAGGGCCAAGTAGATCGGATGGTGTCCAGCAGGACTCCATGCCTGGTGGGCAGTCCTCTGAATTTCCTTCAGCCTCATCTTCTTCTACAAGTGTTCAGGTTTCTCAAATCCTGGGCAGGTGAACGTCCACCACAAGAAACGTCAAATTTATTATGCATTTATTTTAATAATTGTTGATAATGCATTAAAAGCTGATTCTCTATAAAACACTTGCGATACACGATTTTTGATCATCACTTTTAATTGTATGTAAACCTTTTTATTTAACACGCAACATTAGACTAGTATTTACAATTGGAAATACAAAACTTAATTTACATGAAGTTATCATAAACGCGTGTGAAAGTGTTATGCTAAGAGTAAAGCTTAATTACATTTTAATTAAATAAACACGATTGCCAGACATATCAGTGTTAACTAGTACGCACTCAAACCACTTGTGAAATAATTTATTTCCAATAAATCTGACATAGCTAATATAGTTAGCATTCCTCAAGTTAGCATTAGCTTTCCTCATTCTACAAGGAAAATCCATTGCCAGCCATTACACGAATCTTGGTGTTTTAGGAATAAAACATAATTACTTAACGTATGTTACATCCACCCAAAAACAACTTAAGTGGTCAACATCTGGGATTTTTTTTCCCACAGAATATCCGGAGCTTTTTTTTTTTTTTTTTTGCTACTACTGACTGAGCTAACCTACACTACAGCCACCACCCCTACTACGTTTCAGCAAAACAAAAACATCACTTAAAAGACACATTTAAAACCGCCTATAAGAGTAATTGTGCTTAAAAAAATCAACTTACGTAAATTTTGTCTCAACTTGACCGTACGCATTTACTGAATCCAGATCTACTTATCAGCCAAGCTAGCAGCTCAGACCAAAGTGCTTGTGCCGTGTTGTCACTGCGCTACGGAAGCCGACAGGGACATAATAACCAAATACCTCCTAACCAACGGCATCCTAACATTGAACGAARATAAATGCTAATTATACTTAAAAATAAACAATTTATTTTTATTTCTAAAAATTACACAACCAAAAACTTAGTTTTTAATGTGAAAAATAGTATTTTCAGGAATAAACAGAGGGAACACTTAGATCCACACACACAAGAACAGACAACAAGTATTTTCAATATTTAACAGAAGTCTTTATTCTTGYCAGAAATATATACAGAAGCAGAATAGTATCTTATGAATTAGATTTCATAATGTTTAATTTCCTCTGGTTGTTTATCAGGATCTCCCCCTCTCTCCAGGTACAGGTTGTTGTAGGGAAACTGCTTTGGAGCCTAAAAAAAGAGGAACTTTAATGAAAATGTGCACGGTATTAAAGAAAAAAAAAACACACATTACTAGTATTATCTGTAGAAACAGTACAACAAAAAAATGTGGTATTTCAATGTACCCTTTTTATAGAATTTATGTACCACTTTTATTTGTTGTGATGGTCTTATTGTACGACTTGACTTTCAACACAACAAATTTCCAAAGAATACAAACAACAATCATGTTTGATTCAGTTCTTTTAATCCCCTCAGTATTATTGTATAATCATTGGTTCAAAAAAAATAAAATAAAACAACAACAACAACAACAACAACAACAACAACAACAACAAAAAACATCAATCTTCTATTATGTGGAAAGGGGATACTGTTCTAAACAAAGATCCTCAGACCTCCCTCTTACTAAAAAGCTCTTATAGAGACATGAAACAGGCRATTCTACTCTTGAAACTGTCCCAAATACACAGTCATTTCAGCCTATTTCTAAAGGTGAGCTTAGCCA